TTTTTTTTTTTTTTTTTTTGGTTTTCCGAGACAGGGTTTCTCTGTGTAGCTTTGCGCCTTTCCTGGAACTCACTTGGTAGCCCAGGCTGGCCTCGAACTCACAGAGATCCGCCTGGCTCTGCCTCCCGAGTGCTGGGATTAAAGGCGTGCGCCACCACCGCCCGGCTCAGGTGCTCTTTTTAAAAAGCCACTGAGTCGACTTGGTGCTGCCTGTGGATGCATGGGAATAGGACCATCTACTGGGTCATGAGCAGCCTCTCAGGGACCAAATCCCTAAATATAACTGACTTTCCCACAACAACAGTCAGCTGCCAGTAGCTCTCCAGCTAGGAAGGGACTTCATGAGCCCCTCTCCATTCATGCTGGGATTTTGTCTGACTTGATCTTGTGTTTGTAGTCACAGGCACTGTGAGTTCATGTGTAAAAATGCCTTGTTGTGTCTGGGAAAATACCTCTAGCTCATAATTTTTCAGCCTCCCCTTCTGTTATGATTCCTGGGCCTTTGGGAGAGGGACTGCCATATAGATGTCCCATTTAGAGCTGAGCTCCCCATGCCTCTTTTTCTCTGCACATTGACCAGTTGGTGTCTCTGTATAAATCACCACCTACTGAAAAAGGGAGTTTTCTCTGATACGGCCTAAGAGATGCACATACAACTTAGGAAGCAGCTTATTACTACATCAGTTTAGCAGAATAGTGGTTGTAGGTCTTCCCTAGGGTCTGTAACCTAGCCAGCTGTGGGGTTTTGGCTCTATTAATGGTACCAAGCATGAATTCTATCTTGTGGATTGGACTTCAAATCCAATCAGAAAATGGTTCCATTTCAAAATCATTTATTGTTCCATTTATGTAGCATAAGCAAAGATGAACAGTTGCTGAGGACTAGCACTGGTGGGTTAGAGAATGAGCTGGCTGCAAACAGCAGGTTTGAGCTTGGTGGTATAAATCCCGTGTTTTGACTGTGGTAGTAACTATGTAAAGCTGCAAGTCCTGGTTAGTTTTTTTGTCATCTTCACACAACTAGAGAGTCACCTGGGAAGAGGAACCTCAGCGGAAGAATTGCTCCCATCAGGTTGGCCTGAAGCCAACTCTGTGGAGGCATTTCCTTGATGCTTGGTTGATGTGGGAGGGACCCAGCCTCCTGTGGGCACTACCACTCCTAGGCCAGTCCCTGGGTTGCATAAGAAAGCAGGGTGAGCAAATCATGAGGAGCAAGCCAGGAAAGAGCATTCCTCCATGGCCTCTGCTTCAGTTACTGTCTCCAGACCTGTGTCTGAGTTCCTGACCTGATTTACCCTTATGATGGACTGTAATTGTAATCTGAAATAAACCTTTTCCTCTCCAAGTTGCTTTTTGTTAGGGTGTTGTCACAGCCATACAAAGCAAACTAGAATGTTCTACTTGTGTTAAAGTTGCGTAGAACAAGCATGTGTACACAAATGAGTTTGTGTACAGCTGGTTAGGTCGAACATGCTTCTCTGGGGAGCAGAGAAGGGGGTGGAACCACTCTATAAACCTATCTGTAACTTCCTGTAAACTATTTCAAAATAAAAGAGTTTTTAAAATCAAGGTCATGTTTTTTGATTCCTTCATTTAATAACTATAATTTTAAAGGCCTTTCTTATATTGTAATAAAATTAAAGTTATGTGAATTAATGGTCACACAGTGAATGTAACATTGGAATTCCCTGATAATAAGGTTATAGAGTTCTTGTAATAGCATAATGACACAATATAATTGTACATTCACTTGACTAAGCTCTAAGCTACAAAGACAGAAATAATCCTTAATAAGGTAAAGAACTTAGTTTGTATTCTCATACTTGCTTTAGCTAATGGATTTAGTTGGTATTTAGTGCTAAGAATCAGACCCAGGGCCTCACACAGGCATCCCACCACCAGGCTGCAACTTCCCTCTGAGTGAGTATCTCTCTGTCTCTCTTCTCTCTTCTCTCTCTTCTCTCTTCTCTCTCTCCTCTCTCCTCCCTCCTCTCTCCTCTCTCTCTCATCCTCTCCTCCCTCCTCCCTCCTCCCTCTTCTCTCTCTCTCTCTCTCTCCTCTCTCTCCTCTCTCTCTCTCTCTCTCTCTCTCGGTTTTTCAAGACAGGGTTTTCTCTTTGTAGCCCTGGCTGTCCTGGAACTCACTCTGTAGACCACGCTGGCCTCGAACTCAGAGGATCCATCTACCTCTGCCTCCTGAGTGCTGACATTAAAGACATGCACCACCACCACCCAGGATATCTCTTGACCTTTTAGAAATCAAGTACAAAGTTATGTTAGAGTTGACAGTTTTAATAAACTGATAGAATTAAGAATGAAATAGGCATATCTGGTTAGATTGCTAACATTTTGGGGGGTGTATGTTTTAGTTGTTTAACCTAGTTTGGCATCAAACTATCCAGCTCAAAATGCCTACCTCTGAAATGAAACTGAAACACTTATTCAAGATGTTCAAATACTGGCACATTAGGAACCATCTAGAAGCTCTCCTCAGAAGCCTTTATGTCTGTAACAGCTCCTGTTATTTCTAAAGCATGATAGTGGGAACTACAGGGCAATAAAACAGATTGTTATCTCTGGCCTAAATTAACCTATACCTTAGTACGAGTTTGTGTGCCTACATGTGATCAATGCAAAGTAAATGTGCAAATTGGTATGCCACATCTAGGTTAGCTCAGGAAAGACTTCCATGATGGGTAGCATGTGAGCTATGGCAGGCCAAATGTGTGAGGATGGGATTATTTCTCTGGGTTGCACTGAAACAGTCTCAAGTTGGGTACAATAACCAGTATAGGTTGACCTTCTAGGGATCATAATTCTGAACCCCAAATTGGGACAGATACCCAACAAGTGTGAAATTATATAATGGAAACAAAACAGAATTGTATGCTAACGCCATGGGCACTTGACAGAGGAGCATTAGCTCATCGTGCTTGAGTTCATTTACCTTCACTGGTTTGATTTCCTGATGCCATGTTGGGAATGTTCTAGTCCCTATGAGTTTGGAAATCTTGCTGTACTTTTCCATGAATACATGGAAATAGACTGTATTTCACAAATCAGCTTGTGTTGCAGATTCTGCCTCTTAGTGTCAGATAGAAAGTCACATTGACATGAGTTATTTTAGAGATGATACTGCTCACTGACAGAATCAGCCAGCTAAGCTGCAGCAGAGTCACTTTGGCAAATGAGAAATAGGTGGCAGCACGTGGGTCCTGCTCCGCAGTGTCACTCTGACTCAAACATGGGCAGATGTTACAGTATGGGACGGTTTATTCAGCCACAAGAAGCTGCCTTCATGGGTGTAAAAATACCTTTGTCTCACTCTGTTAAGTTGCCTTGTTTCTCATAGCGTTCTATATTAGTGTGCTGGTCATCATCACTCTCACAGAAACAGGCCATAGCCACCGTTTTAGAAGCGTATTAGCTGTTCTCAGTGGGTGAAATGGACCACAGTAGAAACATGCATTTATTTCCTTAGGTTTCCATTTGCAAGTTGAAAAGGAACTAAAAGAGAAAAGTTACCTAGGCCTCTTCTCAAGGCCACTTTTTTCTCCCACACATGACTTTTACCCATGTAAAGAGCCGTTGCTTTGTTTTCTTTGAACCAGATTCTCTTCTTTCTCACTCATACCCTTGAGCTCCCTCCACCTCTCTCTCTCTCTCTCTCTCTCTCTCTCTCTCTCTCTCTCTCTCTCTCTCTCCCCTCCCTCCCTCCCTCTCTCTCTCTCTCTCTCTCTCTCTCTCTCTCTCTCTCTCTCTCTCTCTCTCTCTCTCTCTCACACGCACACACACACACTTTTGTTCTCTCTCTTTTTCCCTCTCACTGTCGTGCTCTCTAATCTCTCCATGTCCCTCTCATTGGCTTGGAACTTGCTATGCAGAGCAGGCTGGTCTTGAATACAGAAGTACATGCCGCCTCTGCCCTCTCAAGTGCTGGTATTAAAAGTGTGCACCATCAGCCTGGCTGGACCACATTCTTGGTTGTGCTGTGCACCATCCTTTAGGAAATTCCTCCTTTCCTGTACCCTGCTGTTGTCAGCTGATGTATTGCCTGCTCCTAGATCTGTCCCGTGGATCTCTACTTTGATCTTTCTTGCATGTGTAGACATGGTAGAGCAATAAACCAAGCCAACATGTTGAGATACCCACTCACACCTGAACCTACTGCACAACATAGGAGGGACTAGCCAAAGAAGGCAGCGCCAGGTAATCTTCCTAGAAAACTGTCCAGAGCTTCATAGTCCGTACCCTCATTAATGTGATTAGCTGATCTGTACAAATGACATAGTATTTTGAGTGTGTGTTTTGCTACCTTAGTGGTGGCTTATGTTGGCAGTGCTGAAAACATTGGTGAAGGGAAAACTTGTTAATTTTTCTGATGGATGATGTGCTCTGACATTTTTCAAGAAGGTATATGAAATGTAAGTAGAACTGTGAAGCCATTTAAAAATTAAATGGAAGGAGAGTAATGGCATTGAATTACTACAATAAATTCTGGTTTCACTCTAGGGGACAGAGTACCATTAGAATCATTAAAATGTATTTGTTAACTGTTAAATACTTTCCACCCACAAGCTTGCTAGTTTTAGCTGCTCCGTCCTCCAGGTCTTTTGCACGCTTACCACTTAGAAGGCAGGCCAGTAGCCATCTTAGAAATGCTACCAACCAGTTCATGCTGCACGTTTACATTCACTTTTCTCTGTCATACAATTTCAACAAAACCCAGAGGACTCCACAGGTATTATACTTTTCATATTTATATGAGAATGTAAAAGTATAATTTAAGGCTAAAAATAAAAAAGTGCATCATTTAGCAGCCCAGCCCATTTTCCTTGTTTCTTTTCAGAATTGCTAGTGCATTTACATCTAACTTTTGGCTAGGGGTCATACTCTCAGAAAAGTCGTTTTCTTTTCACACTAATTTTCTAAAAGAAAACCAGTTTTTAGAGGATTGCGATTTAATGTCTTCTGTTTACAAACTTTGAATTTTCTTTACAGAAATAGATATGTTAAATAAAAGTCTGACAATTTCCCAGAGAAATAAAGTATGCCTGGAAGAGGAAATGAAAAATCTCAAATTGTTGTCGGATGCCGCCATATTGAGGTCTCAGCAGATGCAGGTGTCCAAACAACATGAAGTAAACTTGCAAACCAGATGCTATGATCTGCAGAAGGAGGCGCTAGGTAAAGAGAATTCCTTCTTGATGTTAGCAGCTAGCTGTAACGGAAATGTCTGCCGCCTACTTAGTGCCATGACAGCCTGTGTTAATTCATTTGTCTTGCAAATATGCCTAATAACAACGGTGGTAACTGTCTGTGCTCCGTGTTTGCGGTTGTCCCTTGCTGTCTTACCATTGAAAGCGGCAGGATTAAGTGGGTATGTGAGAGACCTTTCAAGTACAAAGTAAGATTTCAGCAGAACAAAATGGAATTTACTTTGCTCTCGCATTATCCCTAGGGGATTGTTGGTCTAGGATGCAAAAGGAAAATGGAGCATATGCTGTGTGTAAGAGGAATCCAGACTTTATTTTCATTTTTAATGTTTTATTTCTAAAACTTTAACAATTTGTGGAGGGAAGTCATAAGGTTTTCAAAACTTCATGTTGAATATATAACCCTAAATTGTAATATTCTTTGTAATTTTTGTTGTCATAAAATGCATGACCTTAAATGTACCATTTCAAACATTTTTAACTATTCAGTTCGGGAGTTTTGAAGTATATTTATTTACATTTTCTGCAGTACATGTGTGGAACTTTTTCACACTGCAAAACTGAACCTTTGTAGCTACTGGATGTTCCTTTCCTCTCCTCCTAAGCCCTCCGCAGCCACCGTCTCCTTAGTTTCTGTGAGTTTGACTCTCCTAACACGGTACAAATAAGTGAGATGATGTGGTATTGGGGTTTTTGTGTCTGGGGTTTTTACTTATCACAGTGTCATCCGTGTTGTCACACGCGTCAGAATTCCTTTCAGTCCTGACTGGATACAGTCGTCCGGTGTGTGTGGGCACTCCTGGTTCCTTCTCACTCATCTTCCTGTGGACGGCTGGGCCGTTTACATCTCTTCCCATTGCATCTGAGGCTGTGGAGAAGGTGGGTCTACAGATAGCCCTTGGAGGCCTTGCTCTGGGATCTCTGATGAACACCCAGAGGCAGGATGGCTACGTCATTTGAGCAATGCCCATACGGTTTCTCTAGTGACAATATCACTTGACATTCCTACCATAATGGCGCCAGGCTCTTGTCTCTGCGCCTTTAGCAACATTTAATGTTTTGGGGGGTCATTTGCATCTTCTGTGGAGAGTTGTTGTCTGTGTCCTTTGCCCATTTTTAAGATTAGCTCTTTTTGTTTTGTTGTTGTTGAGTTGTACAAGTGTCTCCTAAGTGGTACATATAAATTGCTTATCACATATGTGACTTTCCCATGACATAGGTTGTCATCTCAAAGCCATTTATTGTTTGCTTTGATACAAAGACTCTTCCCAGCTGAACAGGCCCCTTTCGGTGGTTTACTTTTGTTGCCCATGAGTTTCATGTCATAGCCAAGAAATCATTGAAAAATGCAATATTCTAAAGCTTTTTTCTTCACTTTTCTTTTTAAACATGAATCCAGAATTTTAGACAGTTTGGGGAATAAGTCTAAGGAACACATATTTCTACCTGAAAGTATTGAAAATTGTTCATCAAGATAATGATAAAAGCAGTATTTTAATCGGAGTGTATGATGTGAAATCCACAAAGAATCAATAAAAGAAAGGAAAAAGGTAATATTTTAGAAAGATTGAGCCTTGAGGCTGTGCGTTAGGAAGGAATGAACACACAGTAATGGCAATCCAGAGAGGGATGAGTGTTGGAAGAGAAAAGAAGGAGTCATGCATTCAGTAGCACCATGAAGTCAGAAAAAAATGATGTGAAATTTAATTTAAAAATTGTAATTTTGTATGTGCGTATGGGGGGGATCACTTGTGTTCCACGGTACACATATGGAGGTCAGAGGTCAGCTCGCTGGAGCTGGTTCTGTCCTTCTACCATGGGGCTTGATAGCAGGGGCAGATACCCTTTGAGCCATCTTGCCAGCCCAATAAACTGTAATATACAACAGTGATCAGTTATTTTTCCTTTGTCTTTTGGTTGCCTATTTAAAATGGATTTATTGAAGGTTCTCTTGGTAGCAGTTTGTTTTGTTGGAGTTTGGCTGACCTGGACCTCCTGCTCCTCTTGCTTCAGCCCCCGAGTGCCTAGATTTCAGATGTGTGTGGACTTCCCAGCTCCTCTTAAGCATTTTGTTTGTTTTTAAGGCAAGGTTTCACTCTGTGACCCTGACCGACCTGAAACTCACAGAGATCCACCTGCCTCTGCTTCCTGAGTGCTGGGATTCAAGTGAGTGCCACTGCTCCCAGCCTCCCCTTGATCATTTTAAAGACCACTTTGAATAGTATGGATGTTAAGTGTTTTATATATTCAGTTTTTCTAAAGTGCATTTTTATTGAATTTGTATGGTATCACCATATCAGAGGTTTGTATTTTGGTATAACCAAATGGTGATCTTTTTTTATTGTTTCTGATTCGTTTTGGTTAAAACATTACATAATATACATAGTTTTAGGATCCTTTCATTTAACATATTTTTGTGTGATATCATATTTAATGATTCAGTTTCATTCTTTTCCCACTGTACTAGTTTATGTGTAATTAAATCATCATTTTTGCCATCTAACAGAATTTCCTGTGTATTAGTGTCTATTACTACATTTTCTCTTCTGTTGTGCTAATTCATTTCATATGCTATTAATATTAATTTTAGTAGAATGCCTTATTAACCCATTCTTGCAAGTAGTATTTTTTTCTGCTGTTCTTACTTTAAATATATTTGGTATGTAATTATTTTCCACTTAAACCATTTATGTGTGTGTGGTGGGGGGGGCGTGTACATATGTGGCAATCAGAGGTCAAAGTTAGGTGTTTTCCTCAATTGATTACCATCTTATTTTTTTAATTTTTAATTCTTCTTACAATTACTTATTTTAATTTATGTGTATGAATGTTTTGCCTATATATATGCATGTGTACCAGTTGCATGCTTGGTGCCCTCCAAGGTCAGAAGAAGGCATCAGATCCTCTGCAAATGGAGTCACAGATAGTTGTAAACCACTGTGCCAGTGCTAAGAATCAAATTCCGGTCCTCTGGAAGAGCATCCGGTTCTCTTAACCGCTAAGCCATCTTTTCAGTCCTCTCTCTCTCTCTCTCTCTCTCTCTCTCTCTCTCTCTCTCTCTCTCTCTCTCTAAGACTGGGTCTTTCACTAACCCTGGAGCTCACCACTTGTCTTTTCTGCCTGACTGTCAGCACCCAGAATCCTCTGTGTATGCTTCTCAGCACTGGGTCACAGTTGGACCACACTGCCATCTCAGCACTGGGTCACAGTTGGACCACACTGCCATCTCAGCACTGGGTCACAGTTGGACCACACTGCCATCTCAGCACTGGGTCACAGTTGGACCACACTGCCATCTCAGCACTGGGTCACAGTTGGACCACACTGCCATCTCAGCACTGGGTCACAGTTGGACCACACTGCCTTCCCACCTTGGGTCACAGTTGGACCACACTGCCTTCCCACCTTGGGTCACAGTTGGACCACACTGCCGTCCCAGCACTGAGTTACAGTTGGACCACACTGCCTTCCCAGCACTAAGTTACAGTTGGACCACACTGCTATATCCGGCTTTTTAATGTCAGTTCTGGTCAGGCCTTCATGCTTTTGAGGTACATACTTTACTGACCCATCCATCTTTTTAGTCCCTGTCTCTTTAAACTTTAAGATAATGTTATTGCCTATTGTCGGAAGGCTCTGACAAATCCCTAGTAAAGCTTTCTTCTCTAAATTTTATACCATCTTATACATAGAAAGTTACTATTACACATAAACTTAGGACAATTTTTTTTTATTTTTTTGAGACAGGGTTTCTCTGTGTAGCTTTGGTTCCTGTCCTGGAACTCACTCTGTAGACCAGGCTGGCCTCACAGAGATCCACCTGGCTCTGCCTCCCAAGTGCTGAGATTAAAGACATACACCACCACTGCCCAGTTAGGATAATTCTTATTACATTATAATCCCAGGAGGGATTCTAGTTAGAATTGTATTATAAGTATAAAATTTTAGAGAATTGATTTTCTCATCCGAATTCTAGTCATTTTCATCTACAACTCAGGTTTTCTAGGTATGTGAATATACTACCAGGTGCGTACTCTCATAGTCTTAGCAGTTCTAACAGTGGTCAGAAGTCAAAGTTCTAGAGTCTCTTGTAAGACCTAGATGGTCTCTTTACCTGTGATCCCCTGTACAATTAAAAAAAGTTACATGCTTCCAACATACAGTGACATATAGTAGGCATTCCTGATATAAAGGAACACAACAAAGAATGATTGGCTCAGGGCACAACTTAGACCAAAGCCAATCCATCTATAGCCAGCATCTAGAGTACTCGGTAGCATTATCTGGACTCCAGTTGATTTGGTGACTTCTAGTTCTTTTGTCTGCAACACACATAGCCTCTCTCTTTGGCCTACTCTACTCTGTGCTCTAATTCCTTTTCTTTGGCAGACTCTTCATGCTCCTGGCATCTCCAGAATCCTGGAGTCTCCATCACACCTTAAATTTCACTTCAGGTCACATGATAGTCTCTTAAGGCTGCCTTGCAGGGATTCTGACCCTATCACAGATTGCCTGGCTTCAGTGGCTTTCTGAAATTTTGGGCAAACTCCATCATCCTGTGGCTTTTTCATTTTACACTCTTCCAAAAACATGTCCATGTGGATGACATTGCTCAGCTCTGCTGACCACTCAGGATGTAGTTTTGGCCCCTTCTGCACATCAGTAGTGGCCTCTGCATACCTCTGTGATGGTTCCTTTTAACTGTCACATTGACACAATCTAAAATCACCTGAGAAGAGTCTCAATGAGGGATTATCTAGATCAGGTTGCCCTGTGGACATGTCCTTGAGAGATTCTCTTGATTACATTACCTGAAATGGGAAGACCTGCTCACTGTGGGTGGCACCATTCACTTGTCAGTGGTCCTGGATTGTGTAAGAGTGGGGAAGTAAGTTGACCACTAGTGTGAAAGCAGTGATTCATTGCTCTCTGCTCTTGACTGTTGATGTGGTTTGACTAACTGTTTCAAGT